CGAGTGACTGGCCCGTTTGATTTACGACGAATTAAAGGTTTACGTTGCCAACAACCAAGTAACCGTGTCTTGTGATTAACGCTCGCTTCCTTTTCCTCGTACCCGTCGTCTCGCTCGTCGCACCAACTTCTCAAGCGCCTCCTCGTCCGCCTTCCTTCCGGCATTGTACGCGAAGATGTGCCCGCTTCCAACCAGCTCCCTGCGCTCATCTATCTCAATCCAGGGGTTGGATTCCTGGGTCGCGTTGAACGTGATGTACTGCAGTACTTGTTCTCGCCTCTGCTGCATCCCTACACCCCGTTTGAAAACATTGTTCATGCTAGCGGGTCCGGGAGACGGGCAATCGTAGTCGAGAAAGACGGCATCTTGAAGCGGGTGTTGATCCCTGAGCTCCGCCAGTCGTAGGGTTCCATGCGCAGGCGGCGAGCCGACCCTACCCTCCCAGTTTCCATGGCCCATCTTGAAGACCTCGAGACTGCGCATCGTCCCCCTCCACCGCGAGAGCACGTAGCGCCAGCGTAGGTCGAATGAGTATGTCAGATACTCAGCGTCTTGGTTGACCTCGTTCTCGACTAAAGAAAAATAAGAGTCAGCAATGGCTCTGGGCAGAGGATTGGGTAGTAGGTGTTACGATGGGAGCTGGCTTACTATCCCAGTTGACTGGGTATTTCTCGTTGGAGATACGCAACTCGGACCCGTCGGCCGTCGTGCATACGGTATCTCCTTCGTCCAGGGGGCTACTGACAAGAGCACGCCACATGATCGGACAATCATCCAGGTATAGCTCGCGTAGACCACCGCGGCCGCCGTTGCTGGAACCAAGGGAGGCGATCCAATCCACTTGCCATTGGTGGCTGAACACGTATCTTCCCAATGCCAAGACCCGAAGATTCGGGAATCCCGACTCGGTACCATTGCCGGGGTTGACGGTTCGGAAATCTGTGCAACACGAAGTCAGTGTATCCGGCCATGTGAGACGGAGGTGAAAGGAACAAGTCGTAACGCCGACATGTACATACCCATTTTTGGAGTCCAACCCCAGTAATCATGCCCGAACAGAGACAAGACCCGGAGGTTCTGGGCGATCGACGGACAAAGCCATGTTCTCGGTAGATTCCCGAAGAAGTGGGCTTCCTTGGACAGGGGAGATCTACTCTTATTCTCCAGAACGAGTATCTTTAGCTGTTGGAGGCTCTTTGACTTGAGGACACTCTTGAACTCTTCCGACGTAGTGAGGCGGGTATCATTCAACCCGGCAAGGTCAGACATCGTCAGGGCTCTGAGCTCGATCGGCTTCTGCTTAACATCGGCTACTGGGAGAAACTTGAGATCTAAGCGCAAAGATGGCCTGAAATGCACCCGTAATTTCTCCTGAAGGTTGCTTTGCCATAATGGGCTCCAAGTCCCTGCCAAGTACTTGAACACAAAGGCTAACAGGAAGCATCGAAGGTTGTCTTGCCTCATTGTTCTGTACATGATACCGTTGACCGTCTCCGCCCCCAGGATGCGATTATTATTGTCGAATCTGAGGTTAAGCGTCTTCAGGTTTCTGAATTGAACCAGATGAGCCAAGGCAATAGCGAAATCCACATCATCTTTCCAACCCTGATAATCAATGGTTATCTCTCTGACCAGAGGCCGGAGGATGCTAGATTCCGCAACGTGAACAAATGGGTTTGTGTTCGTGTCTTCTAGTCGAATATGGCGAAACACGACATAAGTCGCGGCATCACTGACAGATCTGTTCACGAGACGAGCTTCCAAGGCTGACTTGTGGGGAAGATATGAGGCTATCGCAACGAGAACCTCTGCAGGAAGGCGCTCCATTGTCACGGTTGAAAGAACTAACGAGTTGGATTCGAAAAATCTGTAGGGTCTGAGAAGGTGAAATCGAGACAGTGTTGCAGGTGGGTCGTTCTATATTTTTGTTGCGGAGATGAGAAGAAGAAGAGAAGGTAAGAAGAGGATGCAAGCAGATAAGGACGAAATTGAGCCGAGGGTTATGTAGATAAATGGCAGCCTAGGTTAGAGAAACGATTGCTACAACACGCGTCGCGTCAGTTGGCTTGGCTACCAAGTACCTAACGTTTAACAAACCACACACACTGTGCCGTATCTGAGAGCTGTGTTAAGATGGGGGGGGGGGGAGAAATCAGAATCAAGGGCTCCTCCTACCTAACCCATATCGTTTACATTTGGCGGTTATGCTTAGGTAACCAACCACCTTGACCTAAGTGAATGAAATCTCACAATAGATCCTGATGACTATTGTGTCATTGGTGAATGAACGAGGTACGCACCACAAGGTGGCTCGTGCGCCGTATATGTACAGTTAGCTGAAGCATTTGACAACATTTATACAATCATACAATGGCTACCTAGGTTACAACCGTACCGTCTTAAACGTTGAAGATAATTCTAAAATGCTCCAAACACAGGGTACCAAATAGTATGATCAGAAATATTGTGAGGCCTAAGCTTTCTGGTGTCGAAATAGGGCCGTAGGGCTGTAGGGCTGAGACCCACTATTACAATAATATGGGTCTGCATATGGCTGTTGCCTGTATGTGTATAAGGGGCTCTGCTCCTTGTAGCCTCATCTTTCACTATTATGCCCCTAGTCACTTTGTACTATATTGACATCTACATAGTGTTTCAGTAATTGCAAGCGCTGTGCACCGGGCTGGACTGTCTATGCACATAGGTAGCTCCAGAAGGTCAGCAGATTGATTGATTGAGATGTCACAATGAAATGAAAAAAAAAAAAAAAAAAAAAAAAAAAAAAAATCAATGCTTCGTGAACAGGGTCAGCTTTAGTCTTTGATATTTGCCACTATCACAATCCTCGTTTTGAACTGAAAAATAAACAACTAGTCAGCCGATTTATCAGTCAGAAATCCAAATCCAAACTCAATTCATGTCAACAAAGAATAAAGGGGCTTTTCGTCGGCTCAGATATCTTATACAGCAAAATCGAAACGTGGTTTAAGAGAAGTGGCATGACTTTCCGTCTTTCGTCGTTCAAAGGTTAATGTTCGGATGATGAACTGCTGGCCATCGTCCGCAGTCTCGTCCACAGGCGTCCATCGCGCCATTGCTGGGTCTTTTCTTCCGTTGCCTTGTTCATTGTTTTGCTCTGTCAACCAAGAAAACCCACGTTCATATCCATAAGTAGAGGCACCCTGCCACTTAACAGCTGGTGCTTCCTTCCCGTCCCATTCCAGCCTGTACTGATCATCTCCAAGCGGGAATGTCCACAACCGGGCGCACTCCACGACGAAATCGAGCTGGCCCTGTTTCTGTACGAAGGTTTCCAGCACGAGATCAAGCGTCTGCAGGTCAGGCCAGTACTCAGCGAACTGCGTGCCCCACGGAATCAGTCTCTCGAAACTGTCCAACCGAAAATCAGGGGTTTTGCCTTCTTTCCGTGCCCGGTAACCCCACAACATGCTATTAAATTTGGGCAGCGTTGTGTCGACCATGGGCTCTAACCGAAGTCTCTCTGTAAGGTCAGTTTCACCTTTGGCAGGCGAGGTCAACGACATCCACCAATCAGTGCGGGACATGCGAATCGTCAGATGCGTGATTTTCTTGCCGACAAAGATATTCCTCAGAGGCGATGGAACGGTTTCGTCAAAAAGCTTGTTGGCCACGCTGTGGGAAGCCCCGGGTTTTACGAAGGATGCATAGATTCCAGGCACGGGTGCAAAGCCTTGACACTCACATCCCGTATGGCGGTCCTTCGCGCCCACGGTGCGTGATACTCGTTCAACAGCCCCTATTTCTCAGTTTAGCAACCATCATGGCGGCCTTTGTAATCAGGTTGGGAGTCCTTGGGACTTACCTCCCTCGAGCGTGAATTGCTGCACAGTCATCTCAACTGACGAGATGTTGGCCAATTGCCAGGGTTTCAACAGGTCACACGACAGAAGCCAACTCGGCGTGCACACGAGCGGTCCAAGGGGAGGACGATCCAAATAGTCTCCATCAAAAACCAATATCGGATTGACCTGAAAAGGGACAAGAAAAGCCTCGATGTACACAGCCCGACACGTGAGCAGGAGCCCTACTGCGACACACAGTGGTGCAGCTTGTCCCGGTCTTGCATAACGCTTCGTGAGTGGATACGGGTTTTCGTTGTCCTGATAGCGTGTAAGGGCAAAACGCCAGATCAACTCACGCAGCTCGGTTGGGAGCTTTCCGAAGAGAGGAGACGATTGTTGCGTGTTTATTGAATCTGGATGCCTCACCAGCTCAACTGCGAGTGGTATCTTCTCTTTCTTAAGGGCTATCACGGGGTTGGTTGAATTGGGGGCAGCGCCCCGTTCACGGTCGAATCTCCGATGACGCCCGAAAATCTTTTTCAACATTAGATTTTGGTAGTTATTGATGGTAGAAAGCAATTTGACTAGGCTGAAATAATGATTACTATATAATTATTATTCTAATTAAGGAGCAAGCAGGATTGTAGGTAGGTACGGTTACGTTCAAACCATACCTGACTGTATCAGCTGATGGCAAAAAAATAAGGAAAAGGAATTGAGTGGTGCTCGAGAAGGCGACAGACTTGCACCGTATATGTAGTATGTAAGTAAGTAGTCAGTCCTACGTTTCAGGCAACTGTCTCCGCATGGCATAGCCCCGACCGACTTTGACAACTTCCACCCATTAAAGCGAAGCGAACAAATTTTCAAGTACGGTATGTACCAGGTAACTAATATAAAGGCGAAAGCATCAAAAGCATTCGGAAATCTGTTTCTGCTGGCAATGGTTCCGCGGAATTGATCAACTCGGGGGGTAGTTAGCCTAGCATACAATGAATACGCCATAGATCGACATCGTTGTGTGGTAGTTAAAGTGCCAGTTGCATAAAAAGCAGTCAGGTCGTGGGGGATCCCATTGCAACGATTAAGTAGAAGAAAAAAAAGTTTGTTGGTATTTTATGACGGACCAGCTCTGAGGGGTAAGAGGGTGAAAACAACAAAAAATGCAAAAGTAACGGGTCTGGCCGGGATTTGAACCCGGGGCCTCTCGCAGAATAGCACAGGGTGAACCCTAAGCGAGAATCATACCACTAGACCACCAGACCGTTGGTAACATTGAACCCCACAGAGTTCATTGGTCCCGACTTGGTTGAGGAAAAAGTCGCTAATTTCAGGTTATGTAGTGGACATTGAGTAGCTGCTGGGCCACTGAGGCGTTAGACCACGTGGGGCTGAGGCACCTCGCCTGCTCGCTAACTTCATCTTGCGATACTACAGCGTGTGCACGGAATATGACTAAGCGTAATCCGGACACCTATAAAATACGTATTACTTCAACAATTCTAAATTAAATAGCGTGGGTCGTCTTACAATTATGTCCCTTCGCCTCTCACGTTATCTTTCTTATGCGCAGTCTATTCCATCAAGGTTTAAATTCTTAATGGATCACGTACATTGATCCATCATTTGCTAAAGCTACATCTCCGTCGTTCATCTTCGCATTACACACCCGACGGATAAGCGCCACTCTGCTTCATTCCGCCCCGGTAAAATATATTCTTCTCCTGCTACTTTTTCGACAAGGATAGTTTGCTGAAGCCCACCGCGTCTGCAAATCGAGCCACGGTCGACGAACCGAAGTGCTGGCTAGTAGCACGGAGGTAGCCCGTAGGTAACGGGGACGGGCGGAAGCAGCTTATGCAAAGGACAGGTCCCGTGCCCGGAGATATCCGTCCGCCATGTTCAATACGGCGTATAACTTCTGCCCCGCCTCCGACCCTCTCGTCCCGTGTTACAGTAGTTGAGGTTAACGGAATGTTTTCTCTATGGTGTATAGTATACGCCGCAAGCTTGGTACGCCGTAATACGTTACATCCATCCTCACCCCTGTTATCTCTTAAGCACAACGTCGATCCATCGCGATATTTTCATAAGCGTAGACGTAAGACATATTGCCTCATACGGTGATTGGGCGCGAGTGCGACGAAAACGACGAGGTTGACGAGTTAATACGTTTAAAGAGATTAGGGTCTGTATCATTAATAACCAATTAGAAGGATTTAATAAGCAGTAGCATCTTGGGACTACCTTCACTTTTGTAATAATCTGTGGGTTAGATTATTGCAGTAATTACCAATGTACCACGTGTGATCTACTTCGATTTGCATATAATTGTCACATAATAGGATAAAGGGACCGAGGTCTTCAGAAGTTCAGCCCCGTTTCCCTAGCCATTTACCTACTTTGCAGTATATACATTCCACGCTCAATAGATGTCATGCAGGAGGACGAAAACCAGTTCCCGTCTCCTATTACTTCTTGGATACAGATTGTGTCTGGCTCAGGCATCATTGTGACAAGTCATGCTCACCAGAATCCAAGTAGGTGAGAATCCCCGGTTTTCTTACAGCTTACCAGGGTGCTTTACGGCGCAGCAGGTGTTATCTAGCGAAATAGCCATACTAGAGCTGGCTGTTTCTTTCTTCTTCAGTCCTACGGCGGTCAGGGCGAAATAGTTAACGCGCTACGTTAGAACATAAGTTGACTCGGACCGTGAACACATATTGCTCGTGTTCCCTCTCATAGAACATCCACCAGTGACCCATCCTTCTTTTCTTCATAGGCGTCGCATCTACTTTGTCACCCACAATGGTCGCTACCGAAGGTTGGGACTACATCATTGCCGGCGGTGGGTTGGCCGGCTGTGTGGTCGCAAGCCGTTTGAAGCAATACCAAAACTCAGCGCGCATTCTAATCGTAGAAGCCGGCCCGGACGTGAGCGGAAACAAGGAGATTCTGCACTTCATGTCCCTCTTTCCCATTGGCGACAGCTTCGACTGGGGATATAAGACCGTGCCCCAGAAAGGCTACGGCGGGCGCCAGGTCGATATCGCCTCCGGCCGCGCCCTCGGAGGCGGCTCGGTAATCAATAAGTGTAAGTCCGCAATCCGGAATTTGCATTCTCGTGGTTTATTTGCAGCTGACGCCCATGCCAGGTGGATGGTTTCGCGGTTCCAGGGCCGATTATGACAGCTGGGGTGAGGCCGTCGGCGACCAGCGCTGGAGCTATGACGGGCAACTACCCTACTTCAAGATGACTGAAAAGTGGTTCAACGGCGTGGATTCCAAAAGCCATGGCCGGGACGGTAAACTCCAAATTGAATCTCCCATTTCGACAAACCGAATTTACCCTCTTGCCGGCATCCTCGAGCGAGCCTGGGAAGAATTCGGCGTACACAAACTCCCCGGCGGCGACTACAACGCTGGAGCGAACATTGGTTTTGGATACGCCAATGAGAATCGCGCCAACGGCGCGCGCCAGATCGCTCCTTCGGTCTACTCCCTGGATGGTATTACCGTAATGACCGACACGCTCGTTGGATCCATTCTCGTGGATAAGGATAACAAAGCTACCGGCATTCGTCTGAGTGACGGCACGGAGATCCAAGGAAGCAAAGTTATAGCTGCCGCCGGCGCCTACCGAACACCTCAGTTACTCATGCTTTCCGGACTGGGTCCCAAGGCGACTCTGGAAAAGCACGGCATTGAGACGAAGGTCGACATCCCCGAGGTGGGAAAGAACTTCAATGACCACGTTATTTTGATTCTAAACTGGAAGCTGAAAGATCCGCTCAAAGGATACGCCCTCGGCTCCAACAACCCCCTATTCTCTGAGCCTCGATTCGCGACGGGTGTGCCGATAACTCATATTGTATGTACACAAGTGCCTCGTCACGATTTAGAAGCTACTATTGCCAGAGACGAAGGCAAAGACAAAGTAGACCCGAACCACTACCTTCTGAAGAGAGAGTGGGCAATGATGGAGAATATGGTCATGTACCTGCCGGTCCCGCCTGTTCAAGCCGATGGCACACATATCGGCACCGTCCTGATGGGGCTCAAGCCTACATCGCGCGGGACCGTTACTATTGCCTCTGACAACCCCGCTGACAGCCCGGTCCTCGACCCGAACTATTTCGCTACCGAGGTCGACAAGCTTGTCTGGCGTTATTCCTTGCGCAACATCGCGGCATTCATGACGGGTGACACGCCTCTGGGGCGCGAAATCGTCGAATGCGAGACGCCCTTCCCCGGCTTCGAGCCACTGACCGTCCATGCCAGTGACGAGTACCTCGATAACAGAGTCAAAACACACGGCGAGTGAGTTGACACAACAAGTCAGTTAACCCAATGCATCTGCTTACAAAGTCTCCTTCTGAGTAGGTCCACCTTCCACGGCTGCGGTACCTGTTCAATGGGAACGGTGGTAGATACGGATCTTCGCGTGAAAGGCGTCCAGAATCTGTGGGTTGTCGACGCTTCCGTAATTCCCATATCTATCGGCGCGCATATTCAGGCTGCTGTGTACGCTCTGGCGGAGCAAGCGGCCGTCATCATAGCGCAAGAAAAGGGGGTGCGAATTTAGGTCCGTGCGGTCAGTTAGGGGGATATGATTGTAGTCGCGTTGAACGCCGAGTACCCGATCAAACAATATTCGGTCATTTGGGGTAGCACTGAAAACAATTGCTCGTTATACATAGGAAGTACAGGGCCGCCTAGTTTGGGTAAACCAACCACACAGAGCCAGCATATGCCTTCTCCATCGGGGCATGTTACGGCTAACGCCACTTGATCATAGAAAACCCCGAATCCCCAAATACTCCAAGACGTAGCTCATGTATTATATTGAGACTAGGTAGACGGCTCTCTGGCGATGATATCACGCTCAGGGTTGTTGAGGGTTCTAAACCACGCAGGTTCTTTCCCGTATAGCCAATTCCATAGTATTTGGCATCCTCCCATCATCCTATATTTTCTCCTCCTCATTATTTACCTTGCCCTCGGCCCGAGAAGAATGGGCATCTTAAGCTCCAGACACGAATACTCATTTATTACCACTCTCGATGGTGTTGGATATTAGATTCAAATCTACTCCCAGAAATCTGGCTTGGCCTTTCAATTTTGTTTTTTCTCGGTTTTCTATAGCGGCGTATTACTCGACCACGATCGAACGGCCGATGGAAGCGCTACTGGTAAGTGGATTATCAGTAACGCGGTGAGGTTTACGAACAGCATCGCGCGATGATCTAAGCTATAAAAAGTAGCAGATTGAGTGAAAATATGCTCGTAGCCTAAGGTATAATCGCGAATAAAAGGGATAAAAGTTCGAGATAGAGTAGTTGAAAAGTACCGATCATCATAATATTGATCATCGTCGCTACATCATGATGATTAAGTAATAAAACTCGTCTCGAGTAATAGACTGACTTAGCATTACTTTAGGTATCAAAATCCCAGAACTATACCAAGTTCTTAGTTACTCGGCAGAGTTACCAGGAAGAATTCAAATCTATATAGCTCCTATAAATTAATGCTTAACGCCGCAGATGACAATTCCTATATCTAGCTATGATCGTGTCGATTCAACGTGTTCCTCGAATCCGCTCGTTATCGCCGTGTTCGTAAGAGACAGTACCAAGCATGAAATGGAAATCGTCTCTCTCATTCTTACATTCAGCACGTCCCGTCTCATCGTAATTAGAAATCGCTCAAACATAGGCCGCACTGCTTACCCCTCCCCGCCTGCGGAGGAAGAAGGTCAAGGCAACGATGCTTACGCCGAAGATGAAAGCCAGGTATTCGAACACGTAGTCCGCTTGCACGCGTTGGCACCGGCTCGATAGTTGGCCTTCGTCGGTGCCCCCGGGGCAAATCGGCGTGCCCGCAACGTCCTCGCAGCCTCCGTTTAGGAGTTTGTTTATATACCTATTCCACTGACTCCGATCGTCATCTGCCGTACAGCTGGAGACTGGCCTTAGAGCGACGGTCAAGGCCTACAATTGTAAGGTTAGTATCCCACCGATATACTATGAAAAGCCGGATCGGATGGTGCATCGGCTTACAATGCCACCGGCGAGGTATAGAGCCGAAGCCAGGCCATCGCCTCCTAGCACGACTGCGTCTGGAATCTTGTCGACCCATAGCGCAGCCAGGCCGATTAACGAGACGATAATACCAAACGCCCCGCAGAAGGAGCTGAAGGAGGTTTCGGATGGGGGCGAGCCGATTATTTGCTGCTTCGCAAGAGTGACGGAAAGGCCTAGTA